AGGCGGATGAAGCGGTAGCCTCGCTGCAGCCGGTCGAGGCGGATGCATGCCCACGCGAGACAGGGCGAGCTGACGGTGTGAGAGGTGTCTTCGATTTTGAGCCTGTAATCAACGAACGCCCTTGATTAGCTAGTTATTCCTTCATGAAGTATTATCTTGTTGCCTTCTCTGTCGTAAGATGTGGTACCACCGGGGAAGACGGGTTGAGGGAAAAGGGGGGGCCCGGGCTTTGTCTAGCAGTTGTTCATGTAGGTGGTGCAGCTAAGAGCGAAGTGCAAAGAGCGGGAAGCTGATAGCTGGCAACACAAGCTACGAACACGAGCAAGAATAACCTTCCCCTTCTGCTGTAACCTCCGGATAGCAGCTTGCCGCTAAGGAGGCAGAGAAAGGGGCGGCTGGGTTGCGCAACCTGGATCCGACAAGCTGGATCCGTAACTGCCCTCAGCCGCCCGCCATACGAACTTGTGCGGCAATGAAGTCGGAGTGGAAGAGTGGGAGCCACGGCATGGCAAGCCCGGGGAGGGACCATGCCTCGACCGCTTGGTCGTTTGTTGCCAGTTGGCCGAGCACGCCGTGCTTCTGTGACGCATGCAATTCTGTGTACGTTGACTAGGTCGTGGCAGGTTCAAAACGTGACACAAGAGAAGACGAGAAGTCACTGTGGCGTGGAACGCATGCCAAGGAAGAAAAAGGGGGAAATGTTGGAAGCTGGGTGGGGGGGTTGATTCTCCGGAAGGAAGACAAGGGAAAGCGAAAAGTTGCTGGATACAGAAATAGTTCAGGTTGTCATCACTCACCGAATAAAGCTCAACTCCTCCACCACCTTGGGGATGTTGAGAAACTGTAGCTTCTCGCCGGCTCCCTTTTGATGGCTGCTGCACATGAACTGGGGGTTGGACGTTTTGGCGGCCTTTGTGTGCTGCTTGTACGAGTGCTCGTGTCCGTCCTTGTCGTCCTCACCAATATGGAGCTCGGCCTTGATGACAGGACGCAGAGCGCTTCTGCTGCGTGGATTGTCTCCCTCGTCCTCCTCCTCAGCCGGGATGTTGTGCCCTGCGAAAAAGGTGAGGGCGAGGTCCAGCGTGTGCCTCGCGGCATCGTGGAGCGTCACGCTGAGCTTGTCGGCGCCCTGGTAGGCGGCGGGTTTGAGCACCCAGCCGTCCTCGCCGTCGAACATGGCCTCATTGAGCATCATGCCCTCGTCCAT